TTGGTAGCGTTCCGTGGCATCACAGCTCACAGCAACCTCAAACTCTTGGGCTTAAGAGATTCTCTTGCCTCAGCCTCCCAAGTAGCTGGGACTACAGGTGCCCACCACAGGCCCAGCTATTTTTTTGTTGTAGTTTGGCAGGCCTGGGCCAGGTTCAAATCCATGAGCCCCGGTGTATGTGGCCAGCATCCTAGCTGCTGAGCTACAAGTGCCAAGCCTATTTCTTTTTCTTTCTTTCTTTTTTTTTTTTTTTGAGATGAAGTCTCTATTGCCTAGGCTAGGCTAGAGTGTATTGTCATCATCATGGCTCATTACAACCTCAAACTTCTGAGCCTAAGTGATCTTCCTGCCTCAGCCTCCCAATTAGCTGGAACTATAAGTGTGCATCACTACATCTGGCTAAGTTTTCTACTTCTTTATTTTGGATTAGAGTCTAATTCTGGCAACCTGGCTGTAGTGCAGTGGTGTTATCATAGCTCACTGAGACCTCAAACTCCTGGGTTCAAGTGATCCTCCTGCCTCAGCTTCTGGAGTACTACAGGTGTGTGCAACTATACCTGGATAATTTTTTTGGCTGGAGCTGGGTTTGAACCCACCACCTCCAACATATGGGGCCGGTGCCCTACTCTTTTGAGCCACAGGTACCGCCCCCCTGGATAATTTTTCTATTTTTAGTAGAGATTGGGTCTCTTGCTCATGTTGGTCTTGAACTCCTGGCCTCAAGAAATCCTCCCACCTCAGCTTCCCAGAGTGCCAGAATTACAGGGATGAGCCACCACACCCGACCACCCACTCCCTAATATTCTTTCTTGTGGGAAGGGTAAATTAGATATATTCCAACTACTTAAGAAATCAAGATATAAAAGACTATTTACTTCACTTCAAAGTAATTCTAGCTTTCACACATCAGTTTGTACGCTTGCATGTAATTCATTAAGTATGTTGCAATTATTTAAATCAGCTGGAGTCATGAGGTGGTGGTAAAAATGAGAGGAAAACAGCCTCATTAGGAAACTGGATAGAGCTTTAAAAAGTCCTCCCCCCACGACAGAGACAATCCTGTTGTATTGCCTACGCTGGTCTCAAAGCATTCTTCT